TTGTCTGTACTATTAGCCCGCCAGCTTTTACCATACAAGCTGGTGGAGTCTGAGGCATTCAAAAAATTTGTAGCTATTGGAACACCGCAGTGGAAGGTACCCGGACGAAATTTCTTTTCACAAAAGGCAATCCCCAACCTGTACTCGATTGTGCAAAAGGAAGTAATGGCATGTCTGGCACACAGTGCTGGGGCAAGAGTCCATCTGACCACTGATACCTGGTCTGCAAAGCATGGTCAGGGCAGGTATATCACCTACACTGCGCATTGGGTAAACCTGCTGACGGCTGCCAAGCATGGAATGCGTGGCTCTGCAGAGGAGTTGGTGACACCGCCACGACTTGCAGGCAGGCCTGCTGCCACCTCCTTTACTCCTCCTACTCCATCCTCTTCCATAACCTCCTCGGCTGAGTCCTCTTCTGCTGCTGCGTCTTGCTCCACATCAACGGCACCCCCCCAGCTCCCCAGGTACTATTCCACATCCCGATACGGCAGTGTCACGCCGTCTTGGGTTTGACTTGCTTGAAAGCAGAGAGTCACACCGGACAAGCACTCCTGTCTGCCCTGAACGCACAGGTGGAAAAGTGGCTGACTGCGCAGCAACTGGAGATCGGCAAAGTGGTTTGTGACAACGGAACAAATTTGTTGGCGGCATTGAAGTTGGGCAAGTTGACACATGTGCCGTGCATGGCACATGTGTGTAATCTGATTGTACAACGCTTTGTGCATAAGTACACAAGCTTACAGGACGTCCTGAAGCAGGCTAGGAAGGTGTGTGGCTATTTCAGGCGTTCCTACACGGCCATGGCGCACTTTGCCGATATCCAGCTGCGAAACATGCCAGTGAGGCGCTTCATTTGTGACAGCCCGACACATTCCTAATGTTCGACCGCCTTCTCCAACAAGAAAAAGCCGTTAATGAATATTTGTATGACCGGGGTGCTAGGACAGCCTCTAGGTGAAAGTAATCCTCCTCCTCCCACAACCACGCCGGCTTTACAGACGTGTTGTTGATGGAGGACATGCGGAGCTTTTTAAGTCCTACGAATCGCCACAGCCCTTCGGGACCCACCCTCAGAGAACGACTTGACCGACAGGTAGCAGACTACCTCGCCTTAACTGCAGATATCGACACTCTGAGGAGCGATGAACCCCTTGACTACTGGGTGTGCAGGCTTGACCTGTGGCCTGAGCTATCCAAATTTGCGATAGAACTTCTGGCCTGCCCCGCTTCAAGTGTCCTGTCAGAAAGGACCTTCAGTGCAGCAGGAGGTATTGTCACTGAGAAGAGAAGTCGCCTAGGTCAAAGTCTAGATTACCTCACCTTTATTAAGATGAATGAGGGATGGATCGCGACGGGACTGACATTGGGCGATACATCCGACTAAAAAAGGCCTGATGAGATGAGCTGCCTTGGTCTAAAAATGGTCCACACGCTGCTGTATTTTAGCTCTGAATGCCGGTTGACTTGCGTGACTTATCCGCCACCAACTAGGGTTCAAGCCGCAATATTTTAGGGCAGTGCTCCCCAACCTTTTTATCGCCGCGGACCGGTAAACGTTTGATCCACGTACCGGTCCGCGGCCCGGGGGTTGGGGAACACTGTTTTAGGGCGCTTTCTGCCTGGGAAACAAACATCAATTCTTCTGGCCGCTGCTACAGCAGCGGCTGCAACAATACCTAATTTTTCAGGCATGTGTACATGCCTAATTTTTCGGGCCTCTGGTGCTGCACTGTGGTTTTGAAAACCAAACCAAAAAAAAGGCACATAACAGGGATTAAACTGATAAGAATAATACTACTTTACACACCTTATAACGCAGAGAGAAGCAAAGCAGAGAGAGGAGTCTGAAGAAGAGGAGTCAGAGGAGGAAGGTGGCTTTGAGGAGGTGGAAGACCAAACACAGCAGGCGTCCCAGGGGGCTTGTTGTCACCTTTTGGGGACCCTTGGTGTTGTACGTGGCTGGGTGGAGAAGAGACCTTCAATGACACTTCAACAGTGAGGACAGAACGTGGGACATGGCTAGCTTGGTATCCAACCTTGTGCAAATGGGGAGTTTGGCGGTTGTGCAATGGACTGTTTTATGCATTAAACGGGAGTTCGTTCACTGTGAAGCCGGCTTAACCCTTTACACTACCTGGATCGACAACATCATACAGTAGGTCCCCCCTCATTATTTTTAGTGGGTTCCCACCCAACGCTTTCATGGGTGAGGGCAGAAGGAGGACAGGTCCCCCCATTGAGATTTCTAGTGGCCCCTACCCACCGCAGGTGGGGCCGGGGGGAGGACAGTAGGCAGGTGTTAGTCCCCTTGAAACAACTTTTCCATCACTATTGTGGCCAGAAAGAGTCCCTGTGTGTTTTAAAATTCGTCTGCCCATTGAAGTCTATGGCGGTTCGCGAACATTTGCGTAAGTTCGTGTTCGCCATTCGCGAACCGAAAATTTCGGGTTCGCGACATCACTATTTGTAAATAATCAATACAAACTTTATTGATTAACAGAGACTTAATTAAAGGAACACTATAGTCATCTGAACAACTTCAGCTTAATGAGGTTGTTCAGGTGAGAACTATAGCTCCCTGCAGCCTCTCATGCAAACACTGTATTTTCTGAGAAAATACACACATTGCCCCCCCCCACACACACACTGCCCCACTACAATACATTGCCCCACAATTACACCCCCACACACACACACACACACACTGCACTCCTCACACATTGCACCACTCACACCACTGCTCTTATGCCCTACTACAGCCCCATTTCCCAGCAGACTGTTCTTAAACGGTTTGACTACTTACTCTGGGAGGAGGTCCTGGCACCATAACCACTACACAGGGCTGTAGTGGTTATTGTGCATGGATTATTTCTTTAAATAATCTACAAGTGCCCCTTCCGAGATCAGGCTCTAGATCCGGCACGGTTAACAATATTTAAAGTGTGTGTTTGTATAAAAACACTATATATAGAGGCATCTCTATATATAGTGTTTGCACACTTACTTTGGGCTGGAGGTTTGTCGTAGGAGGTGGGCCTGTGGGCATAGACACCGAGCTGAGCTGTTAGCGCGGTAGAGCACTCGGTTCTTTCATAGAGCGGCATTCAATGCCGCTCTATGAAGAACCTGATTGGTGCAGTGCGAAGCCGTGCATGCGGACCAGAGAGCAATGACGCTTCTCAAAGAGAAGTGTCCTATTGGGCCCTGCAATTTTGGCATTTTGACGAAAAAGGGTGTGTGGCCTGGCGAGGAGCTCGGCGCTGCAACGGAAGTTTTAATAATAAAAAGGGCTCAAATGTATTTATTAGGGGCAAGTTCATCTAAAAGCAAGAAAGAAGGCTAGAGTACCTGTGTTTTTTGCTTTTAGATGTTGACTATAGTGATCCTTTAATAAGTAACCATTCAGCTTAAGGAAACAGTTTAATTATCTAGATATCAGCTTAAGTTATACATCACTGTAACGGATCGCCTGGCACCCCGACTTGGTACCTCCGTTGAAAGATGCTCCTAGCGCTTCCTGAGGACTCCAAGCACTGCAGCAGACGCCACAATCACCGAACCAGAGAAGCGTATACCTTCTCTCAAGCATATGAATGCTGTAGACAGTTGAATAGGAACCATACGAATAGGTTTACTCTCCTAGCAGTCAAACGGAACAGCATACAATAAATCCTTCCCCCAATAATGAGACGACACTTCACTTTGAGGGTTAAAACAGGAACTCCCTGTAC